GCAGCACTGTTGTTGCTGTTGTGATGTAGTAAATTTTTCTCAAATATTAGAATGATAGCATGATTAATACTGTCTGATTCAACATGGGTTGAATTTTCTAGAAAAGAAAAGCGTTTGAAATATAACTTTTTTTATAAGAACATGAATGTACATGTACAATAGATGATGTTTAAGACGTGAATATCATGGCATAAAACTGAATTTTTTATTTTATGCATTAAATTTCATAAAATAGGTATTAATTATTATCAACTTAATGATGGAACTTGCTTCATTCATAGACTTTTTTTGAATTGAAAAGTTATCTTATTTTTATGAGTATTCTTTATTTTTGCTGTCTCAGACCTTTCTTGTGACCTTAGTGGTATGGTACTTAAAATGATGGAGTAGGGGTTATACTTAAACAGAAAAGAACATTTTGTTATTTTTGACACTTTAAGATGGCACCAGAGAGGCAAAAAGGTATAATCGAAGTGACATCTGCAATTGTTTGTTCATTGCAGCACTCTTTACAATAGCCAGAATCTGGAAAAAACCTGAGTGCCCGAGAACAGATGACTGGTTAAAGAAACTTTGGTACATTTACACAATGGAGTACTATGTAGCTGTTAGAAAAGATGAAGTTATGAAATTTACATACAAGTAGTACTACATGGAAAGTATCATGTTAAGCGAAATGAGTCAGAAAGAGCGGGATAGACACAGAAAGATTGCATTCATCTGGGGAACATAAAGCAACAAAATGGGAGACTAACACCCAAGAATGGCTGAGATTAGTACCAGGAATTTTGCTCCATGACTTGAAGGCCAGCCACATGTGCTTGGTGAAAAAGATGCTCAGATAGAGAAGAGAGCACCAAATAAAGGCTGTTGTGAAGACCCTCCCAGGGTGGGAGAGACATGCTAAAAGCAGTCTATAGACCAAACATGATTGCCACTCAATGCCTCTCTGGCAAAACACAGTACCCAAAAGAAGAGAGAGAGAACAAGGGGGAATGCCCTGCCACAGCGGCAGGGTGGGACGGGGGGTGGGGGGTGAGGGGGGATGGGGGGTGGGAGGGATGCTAGGACCCGTGGTGGGGGAGGATGGGCACTGGTGGAGGGATGGGTACTTGATCATTGTATAACTGAAACCCAAGTACAAAAATTTATAAGTCTATAACTGTACCTCATGGTGTTTCACTAATAAAAAAATGATTAAAAAAAAAAGATGGCACTGAAACAGGGCTGATAATGACTAAACTTTTTGTGAGTTTGTTATATGTGGAATTTATGTAACAAAAATTTGTCATCTTAGCCATTTTTTAAAAAATTTTAAGTCTGTAGTTAAATATTGTTAATTACATTTGTAAATTGTGCATCCATAACTATTACCATCTCTGTAACTCTTTTCATTTTGTAAAACAGTTCTGCAGCCAATGACCTATAACTTCCACTTTGTCTTTCTCCTTGTGATAGACAGCCATCATTTTCTCTGTGGTTTTTGGCTACTCTAAGAAACCCATATAAGAAGAATCAAAACAGTATTTATCATCTTGAAATTGGCTTATTTAGCACAATATTCTCAAAATTCATCCACATTGTAGCATATATTAGAATTTTCTTCATTTTTAGGATGGATAATACTTCATTGTATTGATGTAATGTATTTTCTCTATCAATTAATGGACATATGTATTGGTTTCATATGTTAGCTGCCGTAGATAATGCTGCTATGAAACCTGAATGTAAAAAATATTCTTGAGACCCTACTTTCAGTTTTTTGGGGTATAATAGCAGAAGCTGAAGTCAGATAAACATAGTAATTCTGTTTTAACGATTTTGTGGAATGTTCCTCTGGTTTTCCTCAGTAGCTCTGCCATTTCACATTTCTACTAACACTGCAGAAGAATTCAGATTTTTTTCTCTTATATTCTTTCCTAAGAGTTTAAACCTCACATTTAGGCTCTTGCTTAATTTGAATTGATTTTTTTATGGTCACGGTCATGGTCCTCCCGTTGTTCATCAATTTGCTCGAGCGGGCCCAGTAACGTCTCCATTGTGAGACTTGTTACTGTAATAGGTGAAAATCCAACTTCTTTCTTCTGCACATAGCAATACTCAGTTTTCCTAATAAAATGTTTTGAAAAAATGGTCAACTTTTCTATTTTGAATGGTTTTATACCTTTATCAAAAAGTCTATAGGTGGTACCTTATTTTGGAGTGCTGTACTAATATTCTGTGTATACACATATACATGCACCATTGGAAAACAGTAGATATATACATGCATGTGTGTGTGTGTGTTTAAGTTGGTACTATACTGTTCTGATTATTATGGTTTTGTAATATAGTTAAAATTAAGATATGCGATGCTTTTTACTGTTATTTTTAAATTAATTGTGGTTCAATTTTAATATATTTTCTCCCTTTGGAGGAGATTTCTTTGGATCTGTAGTTTACTTTGGGTAGTATGGGTATTTTAACAAATATTATTCTTTCATCTTATGGTATGGAACATCTTTCCACTTTTGTCTTCAGTTTCACAGTTTCATTAGTATCTTACAGTTCTTAGTATATAGATGTTTTATTGCAACAGTTTAATTTGTATTTTATTCTTTTTGATAGTTTTAAATGAGATTTTTTATAATTTCTCTTTATGATCTTTTATTAGTTTATAAAAGCAAAATTTTTATATGTTAATTTTGTATCTTGCAACTTTACTACACCTCTTTTTTTTGTTTAAATTGAATTTTTAAAGTATTCTTTAGTAATTTGAGTCTTGTCATTTCCTTGTACATCCAACTAAAGATTTGTTGAGTTTGTTGATTTTTCAAAGAAACAGACTTTCATTAATTATTATTTTTGTTTTTTACTTTATTTCTTTTTACATCTACTTTTTGCTCTGTTTTAATCTCTATTATTTTGTTCTAGTTTTAGATTTTATTTATTCTTTCCTAGTTGCCTAAGTTAGTATATTGATTTAAGCACTTCTTCTCCTTCTCCTTCTCTTTCTCCTTCTCCTTCTGAGAACCACCAGGAGTGATCCCTGCATATGCCCTGAGCACCTCCAGGTGTGGCCTCGACTTCTACCCCACTCCTTCCCTCAAAGAGTACATGTATCTGAAATACACAGTTGTCAGCATACCATAAAATTATTGATTTTTGTAACTTGTTTTTATTATTTCTAATCATGATCTTGTAAATTTTAATCTCTTGCTAGTACTCTTTTCAGGTAAAACTAGAACTAAACAATTGTCATCATTTAAACTTTTAACATTTAAAATGTTATGTAGCACTGCACTGTCCTCCTGTTATTCATCAGTTTTTCTCGAGCTGGCCCCAGTACCGTCTCCATTGTGAGACTTGTTACTGTTTTTGGAATATCGAATACGTCACAGGCAGCTTGCCAGGCTTTGCTGTGTGGGCGGAATACTCTCGGTAGCTTGCCGAGCTCTCTAAGAGAGGTGTAGGAATCAAACTCGGGACAGCCACGTGCAAGGCAAACGCCCTACCTGCTATGCTATTGCTTTGTAAATAAAATAATCATTTGCATTATTTTTATAGTAACTTGGTTAGATCCTATTGAACAATTATTAGTTTTCCTATTCCATTTTATATGGCTAGCTTTTAAAAGAGATAGTGGATTATTTTGAGGGTATATTTAGGGTATTTGCTAGAAAATCAGGGAATTTAAAAAAGATATAAAGGTGATTATAATGTCGCTAACACTAATCTATGATTAGGACATTATAATTTAAAGATTGCCATTATAAGATTTTGTTTTAAAGAACTTTGATCTTTTTTAGAATATGGGATATCAATAATTGCAATATACTGTAATTCATAACATCTGAGCCAGGTGGAAAACTTTTAGATGTATTCCTGTACAACTATAGTTCTTACACTTCAAATCTTTTTTACTTTATTTATTAGTATATTTTTAAATTTTAAAAGGCACTGGGGAGGTGGTTTTAACTGCTCTTATTCTTCTCAAAAGGATTGAAATATGCTTAAATTATTTTTGCCTTTTGCGGATATTTTTTGCTTCTTATAGAAACTCAAAAGTAAATAAATGGAAGTACTCAATATTACATATTTTTCACTTTAAGGTAATTTTGCTTAATTAATTGTATAAGGCCTTTAGAATGTTTTCTTCTAAAATGAAAGCTTAAATGAGTTTTCAATGGTCAAAACAAAGACTACAGGTTGAGATTACCAGGTTTTATTCTACTACAGTTACCTATGCTCTCAGACAATTGCTGTCTCTTAATACTATGTATTAATTCTAAGCTTTTATGTTAGCTAATTATAGTATTGAGGATATTAAAATATGCTTACTATATGTCTATTCCTTGCTTATTTGTAGGATTTAATTTTTCCAACCATTCCATTTTATAAAAAAAAATTCTGCTCAGATATGTCCAAAATCTACTCTCATACCTGTATTTTCTTTCTATAGAGTGGAAGTGTTCAATAAAAAACAATAATTCAACTCACAAGTATAATTGCTTTTGCTTATTAACAATAAAATCTTGATAACGTGTTTTACTGATCCCTTACTCACTGCTAATTTCATAAATAGAAGGATGTCCAGACCATTTGTTTAACCAGTGTGATTTACCAGTCAATCAATGTATTAGCTTATAAGTGAGCATCAGAATTATTTTGGAAAAAAAATTAACAAGCCACTTTTTTATTGATTAAATTATGATTTTTTTCTTCATGGGAGAGTTGTAAATGGTACTATAATTATTTCAGTCATATCACTTAATTATTTAAATAATTAAGAGTGACAGTTATATTTTAAAACATAGTTCTGGTTCCTTAGGAAAAAAATTATTATATTATCCTGTCATTATGTGGAGATCCTTACCTAAAGTAAAATCTTTTAAAAAAAATATTGTCCCAGAAGCAGAAAACATACTTTTTGAAAGAATGAAGTGCCTTTTATATTTGGAATTGTCATCTCTTATTTGGTTTACTTGGTTTTCTTAATGTTGCCATCATTATTTTTTTAGTGTATTTTGGGATCTGTACTGTGCAGCTCCAGAAAGACGAGAAACATGTGAACATTCAAGTGAAGCAAAAGCCTTCCATGATTATGTAAGTTAACGTATTATTTTATTAAGTTATGTTGTCAGTCTTCCTCCACCCATTGCTCTGGAAAAAATACATGATGCTATTTTTTTCCTTCACGATTAAGAAGTTGATTGTATTTTCTCATTCTCTCTCTCTTCTCTCTCTCTCTCTTTTGCTTGCTTGCTTGCTTACTCTCTCCTCCTCAACCTCCTCTTCCTCCTCCTCTTCCCCTCTTCTACTTTTCTCACCCCATCCTGAAACTTTAAAAGTGAAACATAAATATCATTTGAGTCTTGTTGAAGAAGCTTAGAATAGGATAGTAATATTAAATATAATCTATTTAACGTGTTTCTTTAACCCGTCTAGTTTGTAATGTTTTAGAATTATACAATGTAAGTACTAATTCTGTATTCCATAAAGAGTCATCATAAGAATTCTGTTCATGATAAGCTCTTGTTCTATACATAAGACTTTAAAATAATATGTATGCTCTTCATTTGCAACTTTGGGGTACGTATCATAAATCCAACTTCATTTCCATGGATAGCTTTTATTGTAATTTGAAAGATATCAGAGAAAAATATTCTGTATAAACATGAAACTTAATTTTAAATATTTTAAGGAAGAACATGTTTGAGGCTATTCTGTAGCTAAGTGATATTGATTTTTTTTAAAGGACTACAACTTAGAGAGTTGATGATATTAAAAAGTAGTAGTTTTTAAAAGTTGGGGACAAGGAATACTGTTTTCAGGGATCAGTTGCATTTAAAATGAGGAGACAGTATAACAAAGGGACTATGATAAACTGTTCACAGAACTGACCATAAAAAGCCAGATTAAGTTTGGGATGGAAGAAATCTAGTTTTTGGAAGTGGAATTGGCACTGGAGCCTGAGGAAATATCTGATAGTACCTAAAACTTAACTAGAGGGATTCTTATTTAGTTGGCATAAAGAAGGAATCATTCCGTGTAAATAGCTTAAAAATCAGAAACAGGGCTCAAAAGGAAAAGAGGACCTTGCTCTTCCAAAGGAAATACTTCAGCTTTAGACAGAAGAATGGAAATTAACTAGAAGACTTACAACCCTGAAAAGTAGCACAAGGAAGAGTTTGCAGACTTAGGAGAAGTCAGAATGTTGGGCTTTTGACAGTGACTGTGTAATACTTTAAACGTACACTAAACTGATAAAAGTGAGACGGTCTGTGATTACCTCATCTGATATTGATTGTACTCATAAAGCTTGCTCTGTACTAAACAATAGCTCTTGGGGACAATGTGAGTGAAAGTGGTGCTACTGCATATAAAGAGAACGCAGAGGAAAGGCAGAAAAGGCAGGACCCAACACATGGTATTTATTGAACAATCTTGTTTTCCTCTTTCACCCTTGGGTCATAGTAGAAAGTAAAACAGAGCCCCGACTCTGAAAGGTATAAAGAACTGGCTGAAGTGGGATGCCCCATCTTATCTATTACTTATACCAAACTTTAAAGACTTGCTTAGATGTGGCCTTAAAATACCCAATAATTTTGACAACTATATAGCACAAGGTATTGCCGGTATTCTTCAAAGACATAAATATTTGTGAATCGACATTTTGAGAAGTGAATTACTTTTAAAACTTCCATGGTATAGACAGATTCACCCTACTGCTACCATGAGGTCTAAATTGTATGTTGATCTGAGTTAGCATCTCTTTCTTAGAAGCATTAGGTAAGTTGGTGCTATTGTCGTAGCCGCCACCAGCAGCACCGTCACCATTGTGATTTCGTATTCGTAAAGCACCAACTTTTGAAATCAGCCCACTTAAATATGTCAAGATTTTTCAGGAGAGCATTTGTAGGGTGTAATTAGAGTACATTTTAAAGGAAGATTTATACCTTACCATGTAATGTGTCATAAGAAGACAATAGTTTAGAATAATGGCAGTATTTAGATTATATAATTCATTGTGAATGTTGGCATCCTTTATCGACTTTCATACAATTTTATCTCAAATATTAGTTTTAAGGAATTTTATTTATTCTTCTCTGGCATTGTTTTCTTGTTGTAGGGGTTATACCTAGCAGTACTAGGGAATGCATCCAGGGCTTACTTGATGGTCCCACAAGGTGTCTAGGGATCACACCCAGGGCCTCAAACATGCAAAGCATATGCACTATCTCTTGAGCCACATCTCTGACCCTTAGATGCCCTTATTTATACCCCAGCCTTTAGATGGCTTTTTTAAAAATTATACTTCAGTCCAATTTAGAGTTAGTGGTAGTACATCTCCAATAATTTAATGTTTTTCTGAAGGGGAGTAGGGAATTTTTTTCTTAATTGTTATTATCATTTTAAAAAGTAAGTCATCATCTTGAGTAATTAAAAATAATTTATTGAATTTTTTATATTAGTACCTTTTTACTTTACTGTGAAATCACAGTGATTTTTGTTTTTTTACTCTTTGAACACACCTGTTGTTTCTCAGGGCTTTCTCCTGACTCTACTCTGTGCTCAGGGATTACTTCTAGTGGGGGCCAAGGTAACCAAATAGGACCCTAGGGACTGAACCTGCATTAGCAGCATGCAGGGTAAGTGAGCTACTTGCTGTACTATCACTTTGGCCCCAGAAATGATTTTTCATATTGGAGTTAAATATGTATCTTTTTCTATTGAAAAATACAGTATTTAACCATTTCTGATTTCATTCACTTCTAAAACATTTAGGAAAAGTAAACATATCATGATTGTATCTAGTTATCTAAGGAATGTATGTCTTAATTGTCCTAAAGCAAAGATAGAACCATTAGCATGATGGTACTGAAAATACATTATTACAATGAGTTATTTGAGAGTAGAGAATTAGATTCATTCTTCTCCAGGGTCTGTCAAATAATAGATGTTCAGTAACTATTAACAGAGTGCAACTATTGTGATAGTTTGGAAACTGGAAGTGTTTCAGATCATTTGAACATTCAGGTAAAGTCAAAGACTTGCATCATAGTTGTTGATAGGATGTTTTGATTTTTGTACCCTTGCTAAAGTTAGTGTACCATCTAAAAGGATTAATTTACAGGTTTGTAGTAATGGGATACTTTTAAAAATGTTATATAAACATGGGATTTCTAAGATAATTGAAGAAAATTTAATTCATACCTCATGAGGGTTTTTTCTTTTTACAGACAATTATATATTATATATTATTTAGGAAAATGTAAAGCTATTACAGCTAGGTGCATTGTTTGCTATGATTCTGTAACATCTTTTGTGTGCCTCCTTACTGTTCCAACTTTGTTTATTATATTTTTGCAACAGGATATTTTCTGTAATAAATTGTGAGCTCTCACAGGAATAAATTTCTTATCCCCTGGGCCTGACATGGTACTTGATGAGAGATATTCACATCCTTTGGTGTTTATGTAAATTACTGACTAAATAAAATAATACGTATAATTTATTATTTTTTCATACCTAAATATGTAATTGCCAGAAGTTTATTTAATACTACTTCTATTGACTGTATTTCAAAACAAATTTAGATAAGCTGGGAAAGAGCTAACAAGTGAATTGGAGCAGTTAGCAGAGGCTTTCTATCTTGGGAAGCTCTGCACAAGGGAATCTAGTATGAACAAAATAGATACAGTCTATTCTCAAGGGCTTGCCAGGTAACAAAAGACCTTTACCTAAGAAGTGTGAAATATCAGAGAGCAAAATAAAAGTAGCAATATAATACAGTCTTATAATGCGATTCAGTTGGTATTAGCACACATATCAGAATAGAATGGAGAGGGAGAATGGAAAATACACATAACCTTTGGATGATTTTGGCGTATAGTAGGCATAGTAAGTAAACACTTAAATGAATGAGTCCTTCGTAAGTAAACGCTCAAATGCTCAAATGAATTAGCACATTGGGCCACAGTTCTCCTAAGCAGTATGGGTACACTGGAGTTCTTAATAGAGTGGTAACACAATTATATTTAAAATTTCTCTATCTTACTGATTTTGGGAATGCCCTTTCAGTCAGTGCTCAGGCAATTCTCAGCAACCAGACCGGTGATTCAGTAAAAGAACCAGAGGATGCTGTGCTGCTCATACTCTCTAGTGCCAGAGATTATCAGCACCACACCAGGTGGTGGTCAGGGGTCCTCAGAACTGACTGATCCAGATGATTGAAAACCATATGTTGGGTCAGCTGCATACAAGGCATGCACATTAACCCCTAGACTATCTTTCCAGCCTTTATATATTAATGTGGGTTCCTCAGTGTATAGATTGCTATTCACTTCAACAGAAAAGGATATAAGAGATTTATTTTTGTGCTATTCTTACCTAATATGTTTTTTTATCCCTGTTTTCAAGTTTAACTTCTTTTGCTTCATATAAGTCTTAAAAACAACCCTATCCCCTCTAGATTAAGGAAATTGTTTATTTCATTTTGTTTGTGTTGAGCTCTTTTAATTTGAAGCTATACATTCCTTACCTCATCTGTGCTATATCCGTGTTTCTGTTTTCATCTTGTCATTGGACTTCAAAACTACTTCTGGGTGACTTCTAAGTATTGTTAATAACTGTAGTGGTTATTTTCCCTATTTCCTTTGATCCTGAGATTTCCTGTAGGGCACCATGTTATTTCAGTCATTCAGTAGGAAATAATAAAAAGAAGAAAATCATATGAATGCATGAAAAAATAAAGAAGAGATAAGTGTGACTTTTTCAAATTGGTTTTGCTATGAAAATAAAAAATGTATTTCAAACATGTATTTTAAAAAATTTCATCATAAGACCCTTTCTTCTCACTGGTGTATATTCAATTTTTATTAAAATATAACTTTTTAATTAATATAAAATATAAATATGGCTGGAGCGATAGCACAGTGGTACGGTGTTTGCCTTGCACGCAGCAAACATGGCCGACCCGAGTTCGATTCCTCCGCCCCTCTCAGAGAGCCCGGCAAGCTACTGAGAGTATCTCGCCCACACGGCAGAGCCTGGCAAGCTACCCGTGACGTCTTCGATATGCCAGACACAGTAACAACAAAGTC